AGACCCCTCCCATTAGACCATTAATTGAAGGCGCGAAACGGAGTTTATGGTCGGGCGTTGTTCTCTGAAGGAACAGGCACAGAGCGAGACAACACCAAGCAGGCAAGATACAGAACATGAGCATAAACAGCCCACAGATGTAAGTCCGTTCAATAGTAACTAATATCTCTCTATGTCATCAAGACCATATCAATGCGATTCCATATGTACACCCTGTACATGGTCTAATGAGTAGGAAATGAATGATATTAGTTGGCGCTCAACATATTTGTTCCTGGACAATGACACCTAATTGCTTACACGCTGCTCACCTTGGTTTTCTTTACTTCTCTCCCTTCTCTTCTCTTCACTCTACTCCACTCCACCTCGCGTCCACTCTTGCGCTTGCAATTTTCACTTCTCCGTCTCTCAATCACGTCTCTTCCACCTTTTTCGCACTTTGAACCACTCCAGTGGATCCCTCCCCTACTCTTCTCACTACCCCTCCCTGCTCTACTTCACTCTTTTTAACTCCTCCACTCCTCCACTCCTCCGTTCCTTTCATTCATTCCATTCACGCGCACCAGATCTCACGCCCCACAGCCGAGTGATGTCTATGCACCCGAGCCTGCTTCTCCTGATTCCACTCATTCCAATCTAACACCTTCAACCCCACACCTCGACTTACTATCCTGCGACTATACCATACCTAGCATCTTATCCACTATACCCTTCTTACCCTCACCACCTTCCTGCGCACTTACGACAGCCTCACGAAAAAGCACTCCCCTGTCATACTCCAAACAACAATTGTCAACAACAGTAACAACAAACAAAGCGAAACAAAAAGAAAAAAGGCTGCAACAGTAAATCCCGCCCAATGTATATCGCCCGCGGCTGCCCTGGCTACGCCGCGCTCTGCAGTCTCTTTCTCTGCCTGCGACTCTTTGTTCAACCGGCCGCGGCTCAGGGAGGTAGGAATCAGAGCACCTTTAATCTCCACGGATTTATTTTCACGACTATCTATCTATCTATCTGTCTATCAATCTGTCTATCTATCATCACCCACTATGATTCTGGCATGACGCCAATTGCCAATTGATTGTCTTTTTATCCAAAACAGCAGGAAGCATGAACGGGAGAGGTATCATGGCAACAACAAGCTGCAAGCAGACTATGGGCTTGCATTAGCATTGGTTTTGTGCCCGACGCAAGAAAACCCGCTTTGTGCATCACATCAACAATGACGAGACCAGCCCGCTATTTTTATCGCATTCGCATGGAGCAACATCAACATCAACAACAGCACCAGCAGCACCAGCAAACCTACATAATAATAACGACAACAACTGGAGACATGGCACCAGAACATAACATTATATCACCAGCTTGAATTTCTTTTTCTGATTACAGCACGCAGGTTCTCTCGACAGTAGAGCTGTGCATTATTGCATTATGAAATATTATATGAGTTATTATGAAAGCAAAGGAATCTCTAAAAAAAAAAGCTCAGGAGGACAGGGATCCGCGGAAAATTCTCTCGCAGCCAAACAGTCGATCCATTTCAATCAGTCCATGGATCAATGCTGACCATTTCTTCTTTCTTTCATTGGTATGCAGGCAATCCCTGTTCCAATGTCCCAATATGTGCCCCTGCCGCAGGAGAGGTCTGGGCCGAGGACTCGCTCGAATCCGTGATTTGGAATCCAAAGATGATGTATCCCTTTGATCAATACGACAAGGTCGACATCTACATTGTTGACGAGGGCAATGATACCCGCACGTTCCTTCTTCAGGACGAAGCGGATCTGAGTCTAGGGATGATGGCGACCAGACTCGATTCTCAATTCTTTCCCGAGGACCTGCCAAGTAACCGCTCATGCCATGTGCTGATGACAGGGGTAGGGAATGCCCTCGACGGGACCCATCGGACCCTGAACTCGAGCTCGTTCCTTCTGATTCGTAGGTGCATTTCGCTGCAATACCAATCGTGCTTGCACGGCCCATTTACCGGGATATTGGGTCTTAACAGGACTTGTTTTTGGAATCCAATAATCTTTAGGCACTAAACAAATGGTAAACGGGACACTGGTTCCTATCACTGCCACACCAACATCAACACTAACGACTACAACCATGGGCACCGCCACGACCACTACGACTGCCACTACCACAACGGCCGTCAATTCTACCACAAGTAAGCCCGATACCGCAGCCGGTAACCCAACAGGGATTTCAGCACCAAACGGACAGAAGAGTAATTCGCTATCACCGCTCGTCATTGGACTCATCTCCGCGGGATGTGTTACGCTCCTGATCGCCATTATCGCTATCGGTCTTCTGTACAGGACTCGGAGGCGATTTAAGGGAGACGCTACTCACTTCAAGAGTCTTTACGACCAGCCCAGTTCCCCAACGGACGAATTCAGCAGGAGCCCGATGTTTAAATCCGAAGAGGGCAAGCCAGATTTTGTGAGGGGAGGATCATTTGTTGGACCAACTTTTGGTAGTGCCAGCACTACCGGTCGCAGTTCTTCTCATACAGCGCGGTCAGCAGAGCCGATGATCAAGGGCGCACCAAGCATGCTTGGCTACAACCATAGTCAACAGGCGCCCTCGTCTACGACTGACCCCTTACCCTTGCTGGCACGTAATTCTTCAACCCCCTATCGCGTTCCTGAATCCGCTGCAGAGGTACAGGCAACCGGAGAAGCAGCAGCAGCAATGCCTGGAAATGGTGGAGACGACCAACTTTCGCGGACGACGAAAGGGCCGCTTCTAACTGCAGGGGATGCACATTTAATCGCAGAGACGTTCCGAAAATCGATGCGCAGGCCACGTTGGGAAGCTGAGGCCGATGAGGAGGAAGAGGAGGATGAGGCCCGACAGGCTGCGAACGAGTTGCTGAGGAAGGAGTTGAGTGAGCAAGGACTAGATGTGCAGCGCGGTGTCCAACGACGTGTGACGATACAGGATCGTACACATAGAACAAGTATACCACCAACACCACAGTCGCAAACAGCGTCCATTCCAGAGCCATAGAAGACACTCCTGCTGATATTCACCAAGTGCCTCGTGTAATAGAATCTTGAGTTTGCATTGTGATTATTCCTTTTGAGGACCGGGTCAAAGTGACAGGTTGACGTTGTCATGATAACATTTTGCTTTTGGGCTTGTAAAGAATCGTCAAGAAAACAAAAGCATGTCAATTGGGGCTATGCGCCAGATTGGAGACTAGCGATGAGTCCGTGCTCGTGGCGAAAAAAAAACAAACAAAAACAAAAACTCACGAGCTTATTTCGCATACATCTCAGTTACCGCAATAGAATATATTATCACTACATTAGCAGATGAACAAAACCACAGTCGATGATGTATCTGCGCGGCAGGAAAGAGGGGTATATCGTGGGAGCCATACGGTAGGCGTGAAAGGGGGAGACAGAAACAAAATGAACAAGCGCGTTGGTGCTCAGTGTTTGTGGCCTTTCTTTGGTTTAGATTTATTCCCCTTCTTCTTGCCCTGGTTCTGACCTTGACCCTGGCTCTGACTCTGCTGTTGTGCTGCGATCAACGCGGCCGCTGAGGATGAGACCTTAATCGCTGCTTCAGAATCTTCCTCCCACTCCATCGGTTCAGCTCCCGCCTCACTTGAAATCGGCACCGCAGTTTCAAGACTAATGTTGTCGTTTACATTAAGCAATGCTACCTCAAGCTGGTTAGCAGCTTCCGTAGCCGCAACCCACTCAACGGCCTGCCCCTGGCTACTGCCGTCATCCATGGCCGTCCACTCTGGGGATGCACTTCCAAGAACATGGGTTTCCTCCGGTTCAACGACAGCTGGTGCTGTTACGGTCAGTGCCTCGTCAACAGCCTGCATTGCCTTTTTCTCGTTAAACTCCTCCCTCTCCTCCTTCCCATCCTTCTCGCGCTCCAGTCTGCATCGCGCGGGGAGTGGCTCCTTTTCGTTTATGGTCGTAGTCTTTTGGATCGCCTCTATGGCTACGACGCTGCGCTGAAGAACCTTTGGCTCATATGGAGCCGAGTTTATAAAACTGTATTCATCGACGACAAAGGGACTCTCTTCCTTTTCCATGCTCAGATACATGTCCATTTCTTCATCCCGAAGCGCGGAGTCGCGGATTTTTTCAACGCCCAGGTCAAGGAAGTGGTTGCGCGCGTCAAACAGAAGATCTGTGCCAGAGTGGGTCTCATCGCCTTCCAAACCGAATGTGTAGCTCTCAGCATAAAGATCGCGACACCGCATCATCTTTTCGCGGGTCATGGAAGGTGACTCGGGCGATAGGTAATCGCCATTACTATCTGTTGAAGTGCCGGGTCGGTGGCCAGAGGACTGTTGATGATGGTGGCTGTACTTTCCTCCGCTCAACAGAGATAGAGAGTTGGACGAAGTTGACCTCCTGGCGAGATTTGAGGCTATAGTCGAGGCTGCATCCTGATGAACACCATAATCATTGGCAGAGTACTGACCCCAGACAATCGAGCGCTCCTGTGGTATGGTCAGACTGTTCATATCGGGGAACCGAGAGCGTGAAGAGCCGCTGGCCGCTGAGCTGTATTGCTGTTGGAGCTGCTGTCTTTCCAGAGCGTTCAATCCGGGATGGCTTCCAATCTTGGTAATTGAATGTCCGCCGGTGCCAAAGGCATACTCGGCACTCTTGCCATGTAAGGAATTGTTGGAGACCGAGCCCGTTTGATCGAGAGCACTGTTGCGAGAGCTGTTGTTACTTCGTATGAGCGCGTTCTTGATCGACCTGAACCCTGCAGCAAAATCATAACTCCGACTCAGTTCTTGGCGACGCATCTTCCCAAGAGATCCGGCGGATGGTGACGGGCGCTTCATGGTGACAGAAGCTATGGATGAGGGAGACCCGTTACAACTGGAGTTCTCTGGATCGTTAAGATATGTTGCTGTGGGAGGAGGAGAGTGAATCGTGTTGAGGAAAGTACGATCAAAGTGGATTGGAGAGCCTTTTCTGATCGGGAGATCTGTATAGGAGAACGGATGGAACAGGTCAGCATTCGTGGTCATTCAAGCTCATCCTGTTTTATCGCGCGACGCGCCACTCCATTACCTCGTCGATGGTAGCCGTCGCTCGAATATTCATCTTGCACGTCGCCTCCTTGGCTATTCTCGTAAAATCGGCGATAGACGGTGAAGCCGACAATGGCACCCATCAGTAACAAGATGGGGATGGCTGCCAACATTAGAGGATCTTTGTGTGGACTTCCAGTTCCATCCTGACTCTCGGTGATAGTGGCATCCGTCAAGTTCTTGGGGTCAGACTGGCCGGCGCTGGCTTTTCCTAGTGACCCAGTAGCTCCGGCTGGGTCAACAGGGCCTGACCCTCCCTGGATCAAAATTCTTTGCTGTCCCTTAGCTTGCTCTCCATTCTCCTTATTGGTCTCCGCATGACTCAAGGACTCGTGTAAGAGCTCATTGCCACCAGCGCCGCCAGTGCTTCCTTCGACCTGATGGACAGCATAAATAGTTTGGCCCGGCACAACATCTGCCACCTGGAGCGGGTGGTGATCCTCCGACTGTGGTTGCGGCTCTTTGGCTCCAGAGATCTGCTCTGTACTGCGCTTCTGTTCATGATGATGGTGGCGCTGCTGGTGCTGATGATGATGATGGTGGTGTTTGACTCTATCTCGTCTACTCAGATGCTTAGCCTTCAAGGTTGCCTCAGCCATTTGCTGTTGGTATCCCTTCGCCTGAGGCAAAGAGTCGTTGTCGGTAAGGAAATCAAACAGACCACCTTGATCTCCATTTAGTTCCGCCACACTCTGCTCCTTTAACCAATTATCCTCTTTTTCTCGACCCTCGGCCTGGCTCAAGCTGCTGTCCTCCAGGTCGTCAATCGCTTTAATATTGTCACCCGGCATAGACTTTAGATCGCGGTCCTGGAAAGAGACACAGTCTGGCTCCTGAATATATGGCGAAGATGCCCAGCGAGAGTTGAGCAGCGGCATAAACAAACTGTCTCTAATCTCCGCTTGCAGAGCGGCTTCGCTATCCCCACGATGGTGATCTGAAGTAGCACACAGGTACTTGAATGGATCATAGCAGGCCCTTGACACGGAGTTCCTACAAAGGTATGTCAGAAAGAAAGAGCATGGCGTTGAGACACGGTTCAATGTATATTCGATAGAATCATGCCGACAAGGCTTGCTATTCCCTCTGTACCTGACCGACCAGCACACAGGTAAGGCTTCTGGAGAATGACCCTTGTATTTCGGAAATTCAAGCAGACGAAGTGCTTTCTGCAGGGCATGGCCACATTGGACGTCAAGTCCATCCAACGTTGAGGGAATATTTTCAAAATGCTCTGTTCATATTTCATACAGGTAGTTTTTATCAGCAAGCGAGCATCTTCGGAGTCCCCAATCCCTGCGTACAAAAAAAAAACCTGATATCTTGTTCACTCGCCTTGGATACGACTATTGACGTCTGGAACGTTCTTTACGTTTGACTTGTACTGGGCCGAGGGACAGAGATCAGACGCTTCCTTCAGAACCCTACACTCGTCCAGATTCGATTGTGCATTATCAGCCGAGGTAGCTATAATTTATCACCGGCAGGGATTAGAAACACCACCTTCCATCAATAGACCCGCTGGCGACGACTGTAGGTGAATGTGAGTTCTTGAGATATTCAATACCTGTGCTCATAAGAGCCAGAGCAAGGACTCCAGAGAGAGATTTCAAGGTATTTGTCCTCATAGTGAAGACACACACGCGTCGATCTGTCTGTGTCACTAATAAAAACGCCTCCAGGAAGACGTATGTGCAGGCAGGCTAAAGACTAATGGGACTCCTTCTCAATGCACACAAAAGTAGAAGGAGGGAGACACAAAGAGAAAAAACGTAATGTGCAAGAAGAGCGTCAGAGAAGGCAGGCGCGAACGCGTATATTTGGTAGGCGTACGGAGAGTAGGTTTCTGGATAAAAAAGTATGAGAAGAGAGATGTCAGGGAAGTGTTAAGCAGGAGGGAGAGGAGTTAGTAGTGATGATGGAGAAGGTGAGAAAGCAAAAAGGAACGCGGCGGACAGATGGGTGACATGACAACGTGTATGGGGACTGATGGCCATATGGATCCTCAGAAATAGCTTGTTTTTTTGTTCCCCTTTTTTTGTTCCCTTGGCATACCATGGAATGTACATTCTCGTGCTTCCTTTTCACGCTCTTTCTAGAGCAGAAGTAATAGCAATGAAAGAGAGGAGGGGGATCCAATGGTCGGGATCGAGACAAGAGACGACATAAAGGCTGTGGTTTGTGTGGATGGTACACATTGTCCGGAGGGATGACTTCCTTCTCTAGGACAAATCGAAATACAAAATGCCGCCCGTAGCAGATGAGCGGGGGAGGTGTATGCCCAATTGCCCAAAAGGACGAACACACACTCATTGATAGGGGTATCGACTGCTCGTAACTGCAGACTTCAATCTAGACACCTTTTCTTTTTTCCTGTACCCGGATTGTAGTCTACCAGCCACCGCCTTCGCCCATGGCAACAGTCATCGCAGACGAACATGGACAGGGTCTCTGATTCCAAAAGAAGACAGGGAAAAACAGCAGCTGGAAAGAGCCCTACGTGTCAGATGGGGTTTCAGGTCGGCAAAGCCGTTGCCAATTAACAAATCGCTTTCTTTGGAGGACGAAGGAAAGATCGCTTACAGATACGCTGCAGAGTGGTGCTCTACCGAGCCCTTTAATTAGCCGTAGATGGCATGCGCGTGTTGCTATGTCTGCCAGCGCCGGTCCGTATCGGCAGCAGGACCAATGTTGCGATCTGGGCTATCCGTATTCCAGTAGTCATCTTGACAATCGCACAGAACAGAGGCGGGGATATATATAGCACACAGCTGCAACGGACACCCTCAGATCCTTTTCAACCATTATCTCTATTATCATCATTCCTTTATCCATCTGGGATCTTTCCTTCCATTCACTTTCTTATATCCTGTCGTCCACCGACTAAGCACAAATACGCCGACAAATACCTTTATATCAAACAGGTCTTCAACGCAACTGTATTTTGCACATATACATACTCAAATCCTGACTACCCACATGTTTCGACTTGTTAACAGGCGACTTGCGGCCAACCGCGAGTTGGAAAGTCTCAAGCAAGAGTTTAACCAGTGCTCGCTACCCATCGAGTTCGTCTACAGGATTATCGTCTCCTGTGTGGACGAGATCATGGAGCGTGGACTCAATCATCCGTTCATCCTCAAAAACCCGTACCCACCTTCGGTGGTATCAGCAATGATCACTTTGATGGCCGATCCAGAGCGTAGGAATCTGTTTTCGCTCAAGTGTATGAGAATCGACACGGTAGCGGGAGTGATGTTGGCGGTTCTCAAGAACCTTCGAGAGGCAATCGTACCCTTGGAGATCCAGGATGAATTGACCTCTGGTAAGTATTTCATAAAAGATAAAACGAATCAAAAATGAAAGAATGCATGAGCAAGGGTCTTTTTTCTCTAACCGTGTTCAACCCCTTCCTGACGGGTGCTTCACCTTCACAGGCTCGTCCACACCAACCTCTGGTTCCCAGAGCGTAAACAAGATCAACACTGTCACTTCGCTTCTCAATCATCCCAACTTCCCTGCCGTGAATAGAGCCCTATTGATGGAGCTCTTGAATCTCTCGCTCGCGGTTCTCAATCGATCCAGTTTCAATCGTGTCAAGCCCGATATGCTGGCATCTATTCTCGGTCCTCACATCTTCGCGACACAGCACGCAACCATTCTGCAACACACACCCCAACAGGCCTATTCCTTTGGATGGGGCATCGCCCTGGTGAATGACATCAAGCGCTGCTCAAAAATGTTTTACGTGTTGCTGGGCGGATACAGGCGCAAAATCCTTGGCCCGGATGAGTGGGAGTATGACCAGGGGTTGAACTCGGTGGCTCCAACGGCTTTTGGTATCCCTGCTTCTGGAGTGCCTTTGTCAGGTTCTCTGTCCAGAGGTCAAGTTAATCAATGGATCGGATCTACACCAACGCTTCACGGCGGCATGGGCGGCGACGTGCCTGACCCCTACGACAATCATAACTCCTACCTTGGCGTGAAAAACGCGAGGAAGCTGCACCAGAGTGTACCGCAACTTTGTGTCGTCACCGATAGCTCCGATCCCCTTGGACCACGCAGTTCTCAGCCTCGTTACGGCAGGGCCCGTAGTGTGTCGACGACGCTATCAGAGTCCATCCGTGCGGCTGCAGCCAAGGAGGCCCAGCAATGGAATATTAACCCCTCATCCTGTAAGGGGCCTGCCGCGCTGCAGCACTTGAGGGAAACCCAGCACTGCAAACAGTACCAGGGTCCAGGTTTCTCGCGCGGCAGCAATGGCAGCTGGTCGAGTCGCCAACAGCGTCAGCAGCAGCGGCAACAACAACCGCAGCAGCGGCTGCCGACGGTCGAACAACGACAGCAGGAACTCTTCCAGCAGCGGTTCCCTGACGATGATGATAACGATGTGGGCACCGACGAGCTGAGCGACGCATTCCGTCGTCATAATATTCATATCAGTGACGATAACGTGTCGAAAGAGGAGGTGGATGAAGAGGGAGGGTTTGGACTGGATAGGGTGAATGATATAGCTAAGCAGCGCGAGCAGAAGCGACTGGCGATCGAGCAGATGATCCGGGAATGCCGTGGGATGGGGCTGGACTTTTCGCAGAGAGCGTAGGCCGGTTTAGCGTCTAGAAGGATACGGGCTGGCAACGATAACAATAAAGCACATTCGTTTGTAGCTCACTTCAATTTGGTGGCGAATATGCTCGGGCTGGTGGCAACGGTACTCAGGATGAGAGACCAGCGAGGATTCAATTCCAGGACCTATGCACGAGTGTTCCCCTATCGCCGCCATCACCACACTAGTCCTGCCTTTCGCACACTGCACCGTTCCCCCCTCCTCCCCCTAATAAAGATTCAGACCCCTACTCTTTTTTTTTTTTTTTCCCCACCCACCACTCTATCCGCAATGATCATCGAGCCACGCCTCAAGATCGTAATGATCATCCTCAGTGCTGGGGGGCTGCTCTGGACGGCCACTCGGCACAAGGCAAACTCGCTCTCACAGCAGCCAATTGCACTCGATATCCTCGACCAGGCAGACATCGATGAGGGCGACATCACCAACAGGCCCGAATACAACTATTGCCAGGCCCTGCGGCCAACACCCAAGACATACCCCGCTCCCAAGGTAAGCAACCGCCGTCTAAAGGATTCGCTCGAGGCGAGGTTGCACAGAACGATTGACGATGAGACAAAAGAACGAATGAGCGAATCTAACGATGCATGCGAACATCGGTTTTGTTCATCAGGTCAAGGGAGCGGTGATCGTGAACTCGCAGCTGTTTATTCGCCATGGCGACCGGTAGGTGTCTTTTCCCTGGAGCAGCACCAGCGCACCTCTGTGTCCAGTCGTTGCTTTCACAATCGACCGCATAACAGCCAGCTCAAAATCGCAATGGGTTCATCGTATCTTAAAAGGCTATGCTCCTCTACTTATCCGCAAACATAGCACACCCGTCGCAGTGCTTCCTCACGACCTAGACTTGACCTGGGAATGCGCCAACATGAGCGCCTACTCCTTCACAGCCGTCAGTGCAGACCAGGCGGAGAAATCCCCGTTCCAATACGCCAACGTTGTTGCCCACCAGGTCGTTACCATCCCCTCAGAATCGCCCTTTGCGTCAACGCATATGTGGAAGGGTAGTTGCATCCCGGGACAACTCACACCCGTGGGAGCCATGCAGCATCGTAAGCTGGGCGCAGCGCTCCGTCGGATCTATGTGGACGAGCTTAAACTCTTGCCCGCGACCTTTGATCCAGAGACGGTGCACATCCGTAGCACAGGTATACAAGTCAGCAATGGCGTCTTGCAACCACCCACATTTACTGAAAGCTCCTGCACCTACTGAAACGGCCTATTTTGTTTCGTTAGACGTTTGGCGCACGAAACAAAGTGCGGAGCACCTTATGACAGGATTATACGGTGTCCGGAGTCACTCCCAGAACGCCGCATCACCACCCGTCCTGCAGATTCACACCCTCCCGGTCGAGATCGACTACCTCACCATGAACGGCGGCGCCTGTCCGCACCTTTCTCAGCTTCGTTCGCATGTTGAGAAATCCTCCGAGGTTTTGAAGCGACTCCGGGAGGATAATGTCGAATTCAACAAGGAACTCGTCAGCATCCTAGGAGTAGAAAAGACTTGGTCAGGGTATATGGATACTGTCTTGCCCAGGATCTGCCATGGTTATCCTCTGCAGTGTCAGGATGATGGACAAGGATCGAGCAAATGTATTACCAGGGTAACTGCCGAGAAAATCCTGAAGAATGTTGGTATCCAGACCGCAGAGGTGTATCATGATGGCAATGGCGTTTTTGATGTCCTGAAGCTGGGCATCGGACCGCTGACGAGCGAGATCAAGCGAAACTTGTTGGCGGCCAAAGCAAACGGGAAGGTCCGGTTCAGCTTTTATTCGGGGCATGATACGACTATCTCACCGCTGCTTGGCATGCTTGATTCTACAGACCAGAGATGGCCTCCCTATGTAAGTCGTGGAATAAGGCATCTGTTCCGAACGCAAGGCAATTAAATCAAATACGGAGCCAGCCTTGCTAAGCATGGCTTTATTCGATGTTCTTTGTGTGCATAGGCATCTAACCTGCTTATCGAGTTGTGGAAAACTCCTCGTGGGGCGTACTATGTCCGCGTGCTCTACAATCGCGCGATTCTGGAAACGCAATCAAACTGGTGTGATCTCGGGTGGTGCCCGCTGGAGAGCTTTGTCGAGTATCTGGACCAGTTCATTATCGAGGATGTTAGGACCGCGTGCCAAAGGCAGTGAGATGGGCTTCAATAAAAAAGGCTTGGTCCTTGGAACCACATAAAGAAAAATGATGCTTCTTCTCTTGGTGTTGCGCCTTTTTTTTTTTTTTTTAACTTCCATTCAGGATCAATTCAGGTTGCAAAATGCTTCCTTTATTCTTTTGTTTCTAAACACTCAACATTTTTGCATACATGGGACAAATCCAACCAGACACGATAATGAGCGCAGCAGCTTGGACAGTTCCTCCACTAAGAGCCGAAACCCTCCCATTGACTCCTGAAGAGTCACCAGTACAGGAGCATGCGAGGGTAGCACAGAAACTGCTGGACGAGATCACGACAGCGTTTGGTCCACACTTGGAGGATATCTCCATTAAACAGGACCTTTACAGAACCGCAGACCAACGATCCACTCCCTTAACCTTCATCTCCTACTCGTCAACTTTCTCTCCAGATTCAGAAGAAACCTCTGCATCTACGACCTCGCGATCCGATTCCATACAACTTGTTGTGGCAATCACACCAGTACCTGAGCAGGATCCTCGAATCCATTTGGGTCACTCGATATATCTGCCGTGGTTGTGTGAGCTCCGGATTACATTTCGTGCTGTACAGGATAAGCCATTCTTTTTGTACCCGTCTACATTCGATGGTGTTTCTGCACAGACAATGATCATGATCGATTTCTCCTCCTGTGAGAGTTTGGAGACCTTATCGATCGAGGACCTAGACCGGTCCGGCAATGCACATCGCCTGCATCGACAGCAGCAACCATCTCTACACGGCTTCAATATGATTATACCCATGCTTCCTTTCGCTCAAGATCAGGGACTCAAGTTACCTGCACGTTTAAAGGCACTGGAGATGATAGGTCATTCAGCTGATCGGTTCAATTTCGGATGGCTCAGCGCCACACCTCGGTTGGAGCGGCTACAGATCCTGGGAATCAGGACTAAGGGTCAAATCGGTCTCATAGAATCAGAGTCCCAGACGTCTCCGTGGCATTGGAGAGCCGTGGTGCTTTTGTATCTCAAGGAAATGGTGGTCCATCATTCGCCCGCACGGCATTTTATGTTTGAGATCGTTCAACAGTGCCCGCGCTTGGAGGTCTTGGACGTTCGAGGGGTTCGTTGGACGGCATTTCAAACATTCAACGATCACTCCCCGGTCATTATCGAGACTGGCATGCAGTCAAGGTACTCAGAAATATCCTCTGCGCGAGGTAAGGAATACCTGACATGCTGTAGAATGGAGATAACGCCTGGTGCTCAAGAACTAAGTGCTCCCAAAATGTTTTCCGGCCTGAAGCACGTTTTCCACACCTATTTCTCGAACGTCGTCAAGCTCCGCGTGGACGGCGTCCCGGCGAGGATCGTCATCGATGCGACTGGTGGGGCCTCCTGGGCGTCTTGCGATGGTGACACCGTCACAAGGATGATGAGACGCCTTGAGCGCGTTGTGGTGAAGGACAGTATCGGGATTGTTGAGTATGGAATGGTGCCGGTGCCGCGTACAGGTTCAAGAGAGGGAGGTATGAATTTTGTGTGAAGAGATGTGTAAAAGGATTTGGTATAAACTACGAAGATTTACAGAGGATCATGCATGGCTTGATGACAACAACCAAAGGGGCTTTACAAGATTTTTTTTTTTACTCAAAAATAAAAAGAGCAAGATCTATGAGTGCAGAACTGAAAGAGCGATAGTGTGTAATTTGCCAATAATCCAGATGGGCCTGAGAGCATCGGTTAGGAGTGAGATTAGACGATAATAACAGATGCAGTATTCCTGCGACGGCGGTAATGTGGACAGCAGCAACGGGCGCAGACCCAGGCGATAAGGAAGACGACGGCAAGGGCCACAAAGATGTGTTCGAGTCCACGGGTATGGATGTAGATTACTCCAGTCAGTGCCAAGATCCATACCACTAGCTTTTTTTTTTTTTTTTTTTTTTTTTTTTTTTTTTTTTCATCGCGCACAGAAAAGAAAAAAAGAAAAAGAGCGAGGACGAAGGTTACGATCTCATCAGACAACGCACTGTATATCAAAATGGCTCGTATGATCTTACCAGAATCACGCCTACGACTACGAGTCCGTCATATGCAGCCATTTCTATTGCTGTGCACATCTTGACTTTGATGATTGTGTGAGTGGAAGTGAGAACGAGGGTTGTGGGTAATGTGAATGGAAGGAAGGTGGATTTAAGGATGCTTGGTACCACGATGAGGCACGCTATATATAAGGTCGGGTGAATGGTTGAGCTGTGCCTGTGCCTGTGCCTGTGCCTGTGTCTAAATTGGCAGGCGGATGACTGTGGATGATGCGCATGAAACCTGATGCATTTTTCCTTGATGAACGAATGACATCGATATTTGCGCGTGCTAAATAAGCAGGCATGCATGCATGATAAAGATGCGGCAGTAAAGGCGTACTTTTATTTTTTATTCAGAGTGAAGGGCGGATATGATGACAAGATAATAATTACAATTACATTAAAGGATCGGAGAGGTGGGAGGATTAGAATGTAGAGCACGTTGGAAGGGTGGTCCTGGTTATATTAAGAAGGCGCGTAGTTCGTAGGTTGTACAGGGTGCATCGCGTTGGTTCTCCTTAGACAATGGCGCGGCGTCCGCCACCACGGCGACGTCCGTAGCAGAAGCGGGTGAAGATCCACGCGATGATGAAGACGACGGCGAGGACGATGAAGATGTGCTTCAATCCGGCGGTCGAGCCGACGTGGATTACGTTAACGAGGGACAGGATCCAGATGATGAGGAGGATGAGTCCGACGATGACGAGACCGTCCTATGAGATATATGAGACCAATAAGAAATTCAGGGGCAGTGGGTTAGAGATCAGTGAGATGGGAGGACATGGGCTTATCAGGAGGCAGCTATATGGCGGTGGTAACTTACCCAGGCAACGCAGGCAATGGTAGAGCACATATTTGAAAAAGAAGTGTGGAGGTTGGGTTGTGTGGAGGCTGGGTTGTGTGAAGAGGGAGAGTGGGCTTGAGCTGTAGATGGAGAATGAAGAATGTAGAAAACGAAAGATGGTGGAGGATTGGGCCCGTTATATAGCTGCTGGGAAGTCTGTTCCTCAATTGCCATGCTCGTAGGAGTTCGTTAATGCAGGCACGTATTACACACTCTTACCACCGTTTTCTCTGCCTACGGTCAAGGGGATTACCGCGTCTCCGGTCATTTGGGTAACTACCGAAGGCGCGCGGGTCATATCCAACACCATTTCAAGCCCAGTCTTCAGAGTACAAACCAGTCTAGGGCTCACAGGGGTCATCATTACTCAGTCACCAGAGGGGAAAAAAGAAGAAATGTCGGGATGGTGCTTATCCAGGATAGAGTGCTTATCCACTCGATTACGACAATCGGCGGCGGAATGTAATATTAGTCTCACGTACACCACGTACGGGCATACAGTGTAATGGGCCCATAGTCTACCTTGCGCACAGAGCACAGGGGAAAGGGGTGTTGAGGATGCGCTCGATGATATCACCCCAACGCTGTCATTTAGGCGTAAACTATCCCTTCCTGACCGGAGGTCATACGAACTGCTGTCTACGCCGCCAAATGGAGGCACCACGACTGAGACGCGTCGAATCGTCTCTTCTTTTGCCGCACCTGCAGTCTCTAATGCATAATGAAGCAACATATATAAACCGCTGCTACATCATACTCTCTGCTCTCTGTTCTCTCCCCCTTCTCTCTACTCACCTTTCTCAATTCTCTCATAATGACCGAACAGAACAGCTCCACGTACACCTCCACAACCACAGCCCCCAACACCGGTCGCAGACCCAGCTTTGCGGAAAAGATCAAGGAGAAGATCTCGGGCACGCTGCACCACCACCACCACCACGATCAAGACCAACGCCGTGCCGGTGCTGAACAAATGCAGCACCAGTACGGTGGCCCAAGCAGCGCACACGACAATGCCTATGTGGGCGAGGCAAACGTCGTCGGTGCACACGCGATCCCTCCAATGACCAGCCATGTGAACCCCACCACTGCTTCCCAGCAGAGAACAGCCATGGCCAACAAACCCTCGGTCTCAGCGGATGACCTGCCTCTCCAGGGATAGTTATAATCCCTCTAAACAAAATGTGCATCTTTTCGTACATGCCTTTTGTTCTCCCCATTGTAAATAACTTTTCAAAGTAGTATCCCGAACTCTCCTTTTCCCTTTCTCTCTTTGTCTTGAAAGATGAAAGAAAATAGGCCTGTCCAACCTCTCTTTACTATTATTTATTTGTCTATCTGTTCTTTGAGCAATAAATAAAAAAATAAAAAAAATACGTTCAATCATGTGCACAGAAACCACATGCTCCGCACTGTCCTGTACGTGAGTCTGTTCCAGTCCATCCGCTTCTTTTTCTACTCCCTTTCATCATCCCGTCACTCTCCTCCGCTCCTCCATCCCCCCCTCCCCTCCATCCCATCTCAGTTGTCTTCATCCCTCGACCGACCTCTTCTGTGGACGCAAACCCACCCAGTCTCGCATCTTTCTTTTAATCTGTCCTTCACACACACTCCACGTAACGTGTGTTGTCCGAACAGTGAACAAGGATTAGTTAGCATTCTGCACCCTTTGCTTCCCCTCGGTTGGTCTTGGTTGATACACAAAAAAGACACAGTCTCTCCCCCCCTCCTTTTCCTTCGCTATTTACGACTCGACAATCATGGCAGCCTGCATCATTGAGACTGCTTCTGCTCCAGTGCACCACCAAGAGCTGTCGGACGAAGCCATCAAGGCCTTGTTGAGGTAAAAACACAAGTGAACCGACTCTTTGAAAAGCAAGGCTGGATTACGTGGGATACATCCACGAAAAGAGTGTCCAGAGCGCATATGTGCGTGTGCGGAAGAGAGGACATACACAGACCACAATGGGGTCAATTGGGACAGCTGGAGTGCACTTGAACTTGGCTATGCAAAAAAAGAACTTGCTGGTCTAATGTGTTCTTGGCCCTTCTTTCTGCTTGCTTGTTTGCTGTCGCTGCTGTTGTTTGAACTATGGCCCGCAACCGTCACTGTACATGGCATCATGGCATCCATCCACATGAATATGTACAATGGGACAACTGCAGCAAAACGAGACGCCACAAGAAGAGCAGGTCCGCTGGCAAGCAGTCAGGCACATCTCCGTTGCTCCGACAGGTGCTCCGTCGCTCTCTCCTTCAGCGTCTCAAGCACTGAGCCATTGATTGTCCGTATCTCATCTCTCGAGATCTCTTCAGCTCCTCGTTCCTATAACTGGCATGTGCCGCACAACCTATAGTTATGCATAGCGTGCATAGCATGTAACATGTAGTCGTCGTTCTGATGAGGCGTAGACAAGGACAAAGGGCAAAGGGCAACGGACAATGGAGAACGAACAACGAACAAAGGACAAGCACAAAGCTCAGTGGCTAATAAAGATGTGAAGGGAAGCGCATGAAGACATGAAGATATAACTTGGTTAACGGATGCATGCAGTGGAAATAAGGTGAAGTGGAGTGCTTCCGATGACAGCTGTTTTTTTTACTACAACTGGTCAGCCTGCCTTTTATGAAGGGTCAAAATGAGGAACAGAAACAGTGTCATAAGAATGAGTATGAATATGGATATAGATATATGGGTACCATGCTGCAGGTTCCTAGCTTCATGTATCGCATGTCCACCATGTTCATGAACGCCCACTGTTTATTTTTAGACCGTTGTTAAAACAAACGATCCGTATTTTATTTTTGGCCCCTCCACAATATATTTCCCCCCTCCTCCCCCTACCACCCAGGCACGCATTCATTTATATCCACGCCTTTGCCATCATCCTCCCATCCTCCCATCCTCCCATCCTCCCATCCTTCTCTCCTCCTTTCCCTCCATCTTTCGTTCTTTCCATCCTTCCATCTTTCATCATCGTCACATCCGCCCCACTGAAACCATCCTAACGAATCCCGTTGGCCTGTCCTGAAAAATAACGAACAACTCGAGTTCACGGCAACAGAGCAACAACAAAATATAAATAAGATAAATAAGCGTCCGTCGTCTTCTTGCTGCTCACAAGGAATATAAAATAACAATCAGTCTCATCTGATCACAAGGAAAAGGAAAAGATGATCTCCTGTCCTGATTCATCCTGCAGAAAGAAAGCCGCCTTCCTGCGCCGGTCCTTCCTCCTCGCTCTGCTGGGGCTGCTATGTCTGTCGAATGTCGCTGTGCAGCCTGTGCAGGGTCAAGGTACATAGAGCGGACACTCCCCTCCCTTTCCTTAAAACATACTGGAGCCTCCCCCTTCCCCTTTTGACTGACCCTTTTTTCGTTTATTTTTCCTATTTCAAACATGATCTGCAACCATAGGCGCATCCTCGGGCACATCCCCCCCTAGCTCCACAACCTCTGGTGCTGCAACTGGAACACCCTCGGGCACTGTGACCAGTCCTGCCACAGGAACACCTTCAGGAACCATCATAGGAACTGCCACCGGCACAGCCACAGCACCAGCTCCAACCGTCTCTCGGTCACCGCAGGACCCCGTCTCCTCTTTGACAATGCTCAACCCCAAAGCCAATCTCCAAAATCCGCCGCTCTTTCCCATCGGAGTCGACATCGATTTTGCATGGGACTATGACAAGTATCTGAAGCTTCAACCAACCAACCTCACGATTGAAGCATTCATGACCAACAGCCCCACCACCATCATCACTCTCGGCGCAGCCCTACCCGGAAACCTCAAGAACTACACCTGGACCGCCGCCAATCAGAAGAATATCACACACCCTATTCAAACGGCCATGTACACCCTCAGGATATTCGATGGTGCCGTTGGTCGAAGTGGTAGCCTGCCCCAGGGTGGTTACTTGATCACATACTCTGGACTTAAGTTTGGGCTCTATGCTCCAAATACCTACACTCCTGGTAGCCAAATGAATCGTAAGGCGACTCTGTCCTATACTATCAATTATATTTTCTTTGATGATTTGTTTAGGCCTGCCTGAGCTAACTGTGTCGATCCCCTCCCGCTCTCTATTTCTCTTCGTCATGATAGCACCCATTTGTGCCACCTGTGAGTTTTCAGGGGTGACTAACAATGCCTTGAGGACAATGCTCCCTGGTCTCGCAGTACTCTTGGCCACCGTGGCATCGACCTTTGCTGTACTGATATAGTAAAGCAGATGAGTGGTGGTGTCGATTCTACCTAACCAATTCATTCATATGCATACATCGCAATCTAGGACATCTCGCATCTTTTGCAATAAAAAACATAAAAAACAAAAAGTCTTCCGCTATTTATTATGCTGTCTATTCCCTGCATGCGTTCATGCTGTGCACAGACAGGGACCAGTGGCATAAGCCACCTAGACAAACAGCGCGTAATAATGCCAAGTAAGGTTTTTCTCATCTAGATCTCACATCGCCGCAGCATCAAGGCAATCGCAGTCGCACCTCCTTCTGCTCCTTCTCTTCATCCATATTCATCATGTCTCGATTCTTCCGTGCAGGAGAGAGCGATTCCGACGACACAGAGTCCGACTACTCCGAGGGCCTGTCTGCCTCTGACTCTGAGGACCACTCCGACTCTTCTGAAGAGTCCTCCTCTGATTCTGACGACCAGGCCACTGACAAGAAGGCTGCTGCCTTCAGGAGACGTCTTTTGGATTCCGACTCTGAGAGTGATGAGGAAATCACCCGCACCGTGCGTTCTGCAAAGGACAAGCGATTCGACGAGATCGATCAGGCAGTGACAGCGATGGCCAACGCCCAAAAGATCAACGATTGGATCTCAGTCCAGAATGGTACGTGCAGCATGGGCTCGAAACAAAATTCTCCAGGCTGGACAGTAACGGCATCTTCAGATCCCACATTTGCTGACCTCCTAATGATGTCTGCCGATAGAATTCGAACGTGCCAATAAGGCACTTCAAAAGTCTGCTGGCATCATTTCCCAGGCTGGTGTCCCCAAGTTCTATATCAAGGCCGTGGCAGAACTTGAAAAGACCATCCAGGTCGCTCTGGAGAAGGAAAAATCGGCCTCCAAGAAGATGAATGCATCTAACGCCAAAGCATTGAACGCGATGAAACAAAAGATCAAGAAGAACAACAAAACCTACGAAAGCCAGATTCAGGAGTACGAGAAAGACCCCGACAACTACGGCGTCGAGGAGGAGGAGGTTGTCGAGGTCAAGACTAAGGCCAAGAAGCCGAAGAAGGCCGTTGTTTCAGACTCAGAGGAAGAGGACGAGGAGGGCGAGCAGGTCGACGACGGCTTCACCCCCGTGGGTCCTGGCGGAAAGACTATTGAGCTTACGCAGGATAATCTATTTAAGAAACTGAGGGAGATTGCTGAGGCTCGCGGTAAGAAGAATACGAACCGCGGGGAGCAGGTCCGCATCTTGGAGAGACTTCTCGTCATTGCCAACACCCCTTATCAGAAGATCAGAGTCCTCCTCAGCTTGATCTCGGCCCAGTTCGACTTTGCCATCGGTCTTTCGGGCTACATGAACATCCCTCTTTGGAAGAAGTAAGCCAGGACAATTTATTCTCGGACCCATTTGATGTTCATTGGACTATTATGCTAACTTGGTCTATTCTACTATTCATTTTGCCTTTAGCGCTGAAAAATACTTGAACAACCTTCTGAACGTTTTGGAGACCAGCAATGGATATGTCGTCAAAGAAAACGTTCCAGAGGAAGACGACAGTGACAAGGACCGCACCCCACAGAATGGCGAGACGGTCTTCATTCAAGGATCGATTGTCGCCTTTGTTGATCGTCTAGACGATGAGTTCACGAAGTCTCTTCAGAACATTGATCCTCACACCACCGATTATATCGATCGTCTCAAGGATGAAGTCAGTCTTTACGCCGTCATTGTTCGTTCGCTTGCGTATTTTACTCGTCTCGAGGCGACAGACGCCATCTCCCGCATCACCATGAGACGTTTGGAGCACTTGTACTTCAAGGTTAGTCGGGCAATCGCTGGAGGTGCATCAAGGAATTCTCCCCGCCTTAATTTCCTTTGTCTTTGGCTAATCCACAAACGCCTTCTTTTCGCTCTGTCAATAATAGCCCGAGCCTGTCATTATTGCGGTCGAAAATGCCACTGCTGCGCTCTTGCCCTCGGGCATCATCCAGGCCACTCAGGACTCTTCCAATCTCATCCACGAGCTGTGCGCCTTCCTGTACAAGAACGCATCATCTCTTCTCCGCACTCGTGCCATGCTCTGTCACATCTATCACCACGCGCTCCATAATCGCTTCTTCCAGGCCAGGGACATGATGTTGATGTCGCACTTGCAAGAGACCATTCACCAGGTCGATATCACCACCCAGATCCTGCACAACCGCACCATGGTTCAGCTCGGCCTCTGCGCCTTCCGCGATGGAATGATCAGAGAGGCGCAAACGTGTTTGCAGGACATCTCTGGGACTGGTCGCGTCAAGGAGCTGTTGGCCCAGGGTCTTTCGCTCCAGCGCCACAGTACTGCCAGTCCTGAGCAAGAGAAATTGGAACGCCAGCGCCAGCTTCCTTTCCACATGCATATCAACCTGGAGCTCTTAGAGTGTGTCTACCTGACCTGCTCGATGCTTCTCGAGATCCCGTCCATGGCTGCAGCCAACACTCACCCCGAACTGCGTAAGAGGGTGATCTCGAAGCCTTTTCGCCGCATGCTCGACTACAACTCTCGCCAGGTTTTCTCGGGACCCCCTGAGAACACCCGCGACCACATCATGGGCGCTGCTAAGGCTCTGGCTAACGGTGAATGGCAGAGTTCGGTCGAACTGATCAGCGCTATCAAAATTTGGGACCTTATGCCCGAGTCGGCGAAGATCAAGGAGATGTTGAACCACAAGATTCAGGTGGAGGGTCTGCGTACGTTCCTGTTTACGAACGCATCGTACTACTCTTCGATCAGTCTTGACCAGCTTGCCAAGATGTTCGAGCTGCCTTTGGCCAGTACTGTTTCGATTGTGTCGAAGATGGTGTGGAGCGAAGAGCTGTCGGCTAGTATTGACCAGGTCAAGAACGTGGTGGTTTTGCACCATGTGCAGCTTTCGAGGCTGCAGACTCTTGCTCTCGGCTTTGCTGATAAGGCCACTGGATTCGTGGAGGGCAACGAAAAGTTGTTGGAATCCAAGACTCCACAGCAAGGAGAGCGTCCCAACAAGAAGGGTAAGTTGTGATATTTGTATGAGGGATGGCGAGAACAGCCATCTGTATTTTGCTCATGCTCCCTTTGACTAATCGCCTTTTTTCCCCCCCTCTTTGCAGGACCGAACGCAAATAAAGAGCAGTCGTCTGGAAATAAGCAGCAGCAGCAGCGCACCATGGGTCCCCGCGGCAGTCGCGGAGGACGCAATCAATTCAATAATGGACTTGGCAACAGTGTGCGCGGTGGTCGCAAGTAAACTCAATCAGGATAACCGATATTCGTTTTCAATTGCCACGCTCTTTCTTTCTTTACAACACCCTTTATCAACTATTTTCAATATCGACTATTTTTTCTTTCAGTGCAAGCAGTAGTGCCACCAACGGATTTATTTCAGATATCCTTTCAGATACACACAACCCCGTTCGCAATCCACTTTATTCAATTCTCACACCAGCATAACGATGCACCACCTCAAGAAGAAACAAGGACGGCGGCGGCGAGGTCGAACGGAATAAAGAAATAATAATGATAAAAAAAAGAGCTTAGCTGTCTGCGTGTAGAGAGTACGGAACAATCCAGGCCTTTGCAAGAAAGTATTACATCTGGACTGTAGGGTGTGCTTGCTGACACACATATATGTCTACATAGTCTATAATCGCTTGACGCCAGGAGGTTCCACCCCTTCTAAGGATGAGGCTGCTCGCTTGCGTCCTCCAGCTCGTCCTTTCCCTTACCCTTTCCCTTACCCTTGCCCTTGCCCCACTGCGCTATTGCTGCTGTTGCTACTGTCCCCGGCTTCTGTGTGCGGTCTTACATCTTGTATTCAAGGGTAGTGCCCGTCCTTATCTATTGGCTGAAGATAGAGCGGTCGCAGCTGATGGAATAAATGGCTGCGAACGACATTGCAAACGCTTTGCCCTGCCATAATATCGCGGTGCATGAGAGCGTCGCAGGTTGAGCAGTAAAACCTGCGGATCTCGATCTGTCCGACAAACTTCTCGCACGTCGGGCACTTCTTCAAAGTATAGTCTAGGGGCCTGGCCTAAAGGACATTAAGACAAAGTCAATAAAACATAAACCGATTCTACATGGCTTCGATTCTCAAGTGATAGTGCTCTTACCTTTTGAACAAAGTACGACTGAAAGGACTCGTGCAAAGAGGAACGTCTCGTCTTGGTCGAAAACTTGCCCAGACCAACCCCCAATCACAACCTTGTTGGCTTCTTCTCTCTTTCTGCCGATCGATCCTCCGACCAACTTGAGTAGGCGATCCATTATGAGTCTGTACTCCGCATATCTGGCCCTTCTCGCGTCCTACTTATGCTTCTTGAACCAGTTGTTGCCGTTTTAAAACTCATTTGGTTGTCCCTCTACTCTCTCTAGCTCCATAACATAGCTCGCAAAGCTGGCTCCCTCACCGCGCAGTGGTGGCAGCCTAGTCTCAATGTTGCTGATGGATTATATTCCGACGCTAGGTACAATGTTTTTTTGCTCTTCCATCCATCTTCTGTGCTTGAATGTGGGCAGGTACATAGCCTTCTGCTTCACTGCGAGAATTTAATAGGCGGAAGGAACGGGAGTAGGGGTTGTATCCTCGAAAGAGCTACTCATTTCGGTATCAGCATCCTCGCTTCCAGGCGCCGTTGTCGTACTCCCGGAATCATCGTTCTTTGGTAGCAATGCGCTGGTCTCGACTACACAGGCTTGGCCGAGATCGGGACCCAGAACCTTGATTTGATCCGGCGCGCATCCTCAAAAGTCGGTGGCATCCTGTTGGATCTTCACAATATTTCGGACCTCGGTCAAGAAATAATCCACTCCCCCGAGCATGGATGTAGTTTGAAGGGGCAAGACATTCCGCAGGAGTCGTCTGTATCTGACTGATTGTAGTTCTTTCAACTTGAAAGCGAACAGATGGAGGCGGAAACCGTCTGTCCGAATGGAGCCTCGGCTAGCCGCGTCCGTCATAAGCCATAGGATCGAGATTGGCCTGCCGAATGGGTTGAACGTGTTCCCGCATCATGCTCAGGTCCATCACGGACGTCGAATCCTTGTAATCTCTCGGCCCTCTGCGTGGCTCACGCCTGCCGATGTGCGAAAGCATCTCTGTGATAAGGAACCTAGGAGCTTTCCGCCCAAGCCAATCAATTAGGTCTTGCTGAGAAGGAACAATGTTCATGTTCTCATAGTGTACCAGTACTGGCTCCTCGAGTTTTTTTCTTCAGCGCAGCATTTTGTCAAAACAAGGTACCGAGCTCACGCTCAGAGAACGACATGAAAGGCTGCTCGGCCTAGGCAAGTTCTCAACAAAGACTAGGCTTTCCTTATTGCACAAGTTCTTCCAGTTTTAGCTTGTTCAAAAGGTAACGCATCATCAAACAAGTTTGCAGATCTGTATCATGAGATATTGTGCTGATATTGTTGATGCTTTTTTTTTATTAACGCTCACATAGGCCAGGTCAGTTGGATACATCGTGGTTGGTCCAACCTGCGAGCGGTTTGTCGGGGAGATGAAGATCCGCAGACTGTTCTGTTTGACCTGCAAGTCTTACATGCACCGCGATATCACGGCTGCTCATAACATCTTCAATGTTGTTCGTGGGCACTTGTTCCATCAACGGTGACCACTATATCTCCGTGGATGGCAGCGGGAACTACCCTTGGGAGCAAGCTGCAAAGTCGCAGACAGGTGCTAGCACCAGTAGCACCAGCACCAGCATGAGTCTTATCAACAGTGCTAGCAATTCGAGCATTAGTAGCATGGCTGTCAACTACTCGAGCGTATACTCGCGTTACGCGCGCCGAGTATAGAGGTCATCACTGACCATTGTGTTCATTCCAAGCGCTCATGCTCTGTCGAAACTAGGGTAGACTGTCGAGTAGGAAACATAGTAAAAGGTAGTATTATTCTACCGAAAGGCGAAGAATTATACGGCAGACGTATAGAGCGAGAGCGTTTTTTTCATTGTCGAACTTTGGTCAGTAAGGTTGTATACGCCGTATAATTATTATACGTGGCTCAGGGTGCAAACCAACCAATTGGCGCTCATTATACTCCGATCTGTATACTCGTATAGGGTCGTCGAGTATACGGTAGAGTATACAATACTTCTCCAGCCAATAGCAGCGAGCATACTCGTATAAGTGTACTACGCCGTATAGGTTGAATATGGCTCCTTGGAGAAATAGGTTTACGAACCCCTGCGTCAAGAGTTGGCTTCCGTCCTCTGTCCTTACATGAGATTCGGCAGATTCATCGGCAGCCCTGTCTTCCACTTCGTTCTTTTCCGTATCGTTCTTCCTTTTCCTTTCCTTTCCTTTCCTCCATCCACAATTGAGCTCTGTTCACGTTTTCTTTGGTATCCAATCTTCGAATCCGGGCATGAAGCCGTTTACAAAACAAAGGCAGTAGTGCCATTGTGCGCGGATATTTGCTTTCATGTTGAAATGGCTACAAAACATAGCTGTTATCAGCCGTCTGCGTTGGATTCTCTTGCTTCTACATGATGAAGGTTCCTGTAACTGCTTGACTACAAACAGAGAAATGTTGTTATACCCAAGACAATTGAACGAATATCGTTGTGGACTTTTGTATGATAGGCGGCAGACGTCCAGCTTTCCAGTCGCTGTCGTGCAACTTCTGTCCAATGGCCACCCTCGGGCCCCAAATATACCGGGTCTGATTGCAAACTGCCGATCCCCAAAACGTGGCCTTTGCAGAGCACTATATGAATGATGTGATTGTTAGAGAAGACCTTTGGGAAATATGTGTTGATGGAGGCATTGAAGAAGATTTTTCTGAAGAGAATCTTATGTTGTTGGAGATGAAAAAAAAAATGAGTAGTTATAAGTGAATCCGCGTTAATGAGAGAAAATGCCGGAATGGTGACTTACCGTTGTGATCTCTGACCGAATGCCGTTCAATACGCTCTGCGTCGTGCTGGAGGGGTTTTTGTTAGCAACGTGGTTGAACAGCGCCATAGAGCAACAGGGGCCTGAAGTCAACTGTCACGGATGTATGTAGAAACCAGGAGGGTAGATAGAAAAACGCGTGTGCTAATGACCAACAACTAAGAGTAATGTATGAGTGTTGATTATCTATCACCTGTTGAAAGTTGGATGATTTCATCGCCTCTCTGGATGCTGGTATTGGTTTTGCCGGGTTAGAGAATCTTGGCATTTTGTTGTCTGTGTCATACTCGGGTTCATCATAGGTGTTGTCCAGGTAAAGGTGGTCGTTGTTGTGTGTTTTGTACATCAAACGTCTCGTTTGCAGGCTGTCTCGGTAGCAAAGTAGATAGGCCTAGTATTTCTACCTCTTGATTGAATACTGATTAGAATGGACGACGATCTTGTCCAGGAGTCTGTACGGTTCATTGAGGTATATGAACCGTGGATTGACAAATAGACCGTTGTTAATTTCGTGGGGTAAAGGTTTCATGCTTAATTCAACTAAGAATGATTTATCTGGGTCATCATATGGAGCATCGTCCCATATGGGTCTTGCAGGATCGACCTCAGTATGATCCAGTGTACGCTGTTTAATTGAATAGCGAAGAGGAGTATATTGGATCAGTGTATTGAGCTATGGTGTTTAAATCCAATCTCGGAATGCAAAGTGGAGTGAGGTTAATTATCAGCTTGCGAGTGTGTACCACGACTGGGGTTGTTGTTGTCGATATACGCTAGTTTAAGATGGTGCTTGAGGATTGTTGGCAAGTTTGGGATGCATCTGTATGTTTTATCCAGGAAGCATAAAAACGATGTCCTTCGTTCCTCGACTTTGAGGGTCCTCCGGATATGGAGTGTTTTTATTCATGCTTTTTCTGCCGTTCTTGTTGTGCTTGCAGTGTTCTCGTCGATGTCGCATCCTGTTTCGGTCGTTTGGTCTGGCTGCTGTCGGTGTTATTGCTTGTGCACTAACGTTTACTGTTCACTAGAAGACATTGTTTGATGTACAGTGATTAGAAGAGTTGCTAGCGGGCACATTCAGCGCATAGAAAGTGACGTGGTTGGGGTACAATTGTCCCGTCCCGCCTGCAACAACCATCTTTCTTCAGCCCAAGCCAGTCTCCTCAACATCTCCTACATTCCTCTCTGCTCTTTTCATCCTCTTGATTCAAACTCTCCACAACCGACAATCCGCCAAATCACATCAGAAAGCTCACCCAACAAACACTGCCAGGATGTCGGAACGTGAAGCACAAGAGCTGGTCGCAAAGGCCGACAAGAAGGCCATGTCGACCACATGGTTCTTCAGCTCAACATCCAAGCTCGAGGAAGCAGCTGAGCTCTACACCAAGGCAGGCAACATCTACAAGATGGCTAAGCGATGTGAGTACTCCCGACTTACATTGCCATCTTCGTAACGAACTCTGGGTATCCAGCACGCCTGTTGAGGTCCGCACTCCAGGTCAACCTTACGGACTATGCGAGGCTTCCGGGCCTCTACCGTTGTCATGAAAAAAGGACGCCATACCCTGGTCATTCAATTGTTCCCTCACGCTTCCATGGCGCTTTTATTCACGTCTTCTTTCTCTTTTCTTTCTCTTTCGTCTGTAGGGAAGGAGTCTGGCGACACTTTCTGTAAAGCGGCCGATATGCAACTAAAGATGAATGAGAAGGACGAGGCTGCATCGACCTTTATCAATGCCTCCAAATCGTACAAGAAGTCTAGTCCTCAAGGTATGTAAACCTTTTGCAAAAACCTTCTAGACTGACTGGTTCCTGTAGCTCTTTCTTTACATGGATCAGAATCGACTGGATGCAATGTATCAACTGGCTCGACAAAAGAAAAAACTGTTGACTAACACTGTATAAATTGATTGTTCTTTATGTTTGTTTGTTCCTGTCTGTAGATGCTATCTCGGCCCTGGAAAAGGCAATTGGGATCTTGACAGAGAGGGGGCGATTCCAGTCGGCAGCTAAGCACCAGGAGGATATTGCTGGGATCTATGAGTCAGAGCTGATCGATCTGGAGCAAGCCATGCGGGCGTATGAGGTTGCGGCGGATTGGTATGCTGGTGAATCGTCTACAGCGTAAGAACAACTTTTTTTTTCTGCCTCGACACAAACTATGGAACTCTTTGAGTGGTGTTTTTGAAGCTCTGTGTGCTTTTTGACCTAACTTGATCCAAAAATCAAACATCTGGATATCTGCTGGCGCTACTACTACTAGTCTTTCACACAAGTGTATGCTGAAGGTTGCTACGTTCGCGGCGCAGTTGGAGCAATACGACAAGGCGATCGAGAAGTTTGAGCTGGTGGCGAGTGCCAGTTTGGACAACCAATTGATGAAGTGGTCGCTAAAGGAGTACTTTCTTAAGGCAGGACTCTGTCATATTGCCACTGGGGTATGTGTGATCTGCAAGGGACTCATAGCTTTGTACATGCTGCTTTTTCTTTCAGGATGGAGCATAGACTCGCGTGTTTATGGATACTGCTTTCTAACTTTTTTTTTTTTTTTTTTTTTTTTTTTTTTTTTGGCAGGACTCTGTATCTGCACATAATGCTGTTGGACGTTATTGCGACATGGATGTTACTTTTGCATCGACGAGAGAGTGCCAGTTTCTGCAGGTATATTCGAATACAGAGGCGCTCTTATGCCGGACCATATTCGTTCTTTTTGAGACATCTTACGATACTGATACGCTCCTTCGCTTTTTCCTCACTTTAAAATGCATGTGTGGTTCTAATAGAGTATCCTGATGGCTGTGGATAACAACGATGTAAAGCAGTTTACGGCGAGTGTTGTTGATTTCGATCAACTGACGAAGCTTGACAATTGGAAGACGAAGATCCTGCTGGAGATCAAGAACAGCATAGGAAAGGAGTCCAGCCTGATTTAATCGAAGAGCGGCAGGGAGACAGGGGGAAGAGACATTATGGAACGCAAGCTGCTTTTACCTGCGATGACAATTCAGTACTGGTGCTTGCGATGCGTATAATTGCGCGGACGAAAAAGAAATATCTTACAGTTTGGCTGTATGTATACATTCAATAAATGGTCTATCCTTAGGGACATGCTGTAGTGTGCCAAGGTGAGGGCAAATCAAGGAGGGTACCTATCGATCTGCCCAAAGATTGTTGCTGCAGGTTGGCGTTTGAACAGCCTGAGTGTATGTGCATGGACCCAGGAGCAGGTGCCTGAGCTAGGATACCATTGGATTGCCCTATACCACGCATTCAGAAAGCCCTTTTGCCGAGTGAGGTTGAGGTTCAGTGGGAGGGGTTGTTTTTTTGCACGCGTTGATTGGCCACGCGTGCACTTTGTGTTCATGCGCGCAAAAAAAAAAAAAAAAGGGTGGGCGTGGACGTGTCTCGTACATTTTGTACTCGTCCGGGGTACGTGTGTGAGGATGAACCTTATCCTTTGACCAGCGAGTATATAGTCTAGCACTTCTCCTTTTCTCTCACTCACAGCTTCCTTCTCCTCCTCCTCATTTCCATTCCTCATTCCTACTCCTCAAACCAACTCTACTCTTTCTTTCTTTCTTTCTTTCTTTGTTTCTTTCTTTCTTTCTTTGCTTGTCCCTCTACCTGTCACACAACCTGCTCAATGACTGCTCTTCGCGTCCCTTTCCAGAGGTTCGTCCAGTCAACACGCCCTGCTGGTCGTGTCTACGGTCGCCTCGGCCATCTCGACCGTACTCTTGTCCTCACACGTCCCTTCGCGTCCGTAACCCAGCCCTATGGCTCCTCGGACGGATACCTAGGCCGACTTCACAAGGACCAAAAACCATTGGTCGAGGGAGAGCCCTCGGGACCAAAGGTTGTGACGGATACGATTCCGGGCCCTAAAACACTGAAGGGGTTACAGCGGCTGGATAAGTTGCAGGATACTAGAGCTGCAACTATGATGACAGGTATGTTAAGGATTGAGGCGGACCGAGGTGTTGAAGAGGTAAAGCTCTGGTCCACTGACGGCTCTTTTTTTCGGACATGGCTGTGTCAATTGGATGTAGATCTGGACAAGTCGATCGGAAACTACGTTGTCGACCTCGATGGCAATATAGTAAGTAAAGCTCTTCGGGTCATGACGGCGATCATCACCACAGATGTATATAATTCCTCCCTCACTAACTCAATTTGATGTAGTTTCTGGACGTGTACTGCCAGATCGCCTCGCTTCCGTTAGGTTACAACTCCAAGGCCCTGATCGAGGCCGCATCGAGTCCAGAGATGGTTCAGATGCTGGTCAATCGCCCAGCTTTGGGTGTTCAGCCGCATTCGACTTGGGCCAAGACCCTCGAGGATTCGTTCATGACAGTCGCACCCAAAGGACTCACCCAAGTATTTACGGCTTTGAGTGGATCCTGCGCCAATGAAACTGCGTACAAGGTAAAACTTTTTTTTCCTGTTCGTTCTGCAATTGTACTGTACTTTGTTGGTTCTTGTTCGGACAGAGTAGAATGAGGAACTTGATGCGAAATTTATGTATGCGTGTCGTATTGCGTATGGTAGGCCGCGTTTATGTATCATCAGAGACTCAAGAGAGGCCAGAACACTTCAGCCTCGGCAGAGGACATGTCCAGCTGCATGAAAAACATGCAACCCGGATCTCCAGGTATGGTTACTTTTCTTTTTTTTTTTAGGCAATGTGAAGGGGTTTCTTTCCTCTGCCGCAGCGAAGCATTTTACGTTTTGCTATCGACGCAAGGATTACAAAAGGAGCACGAAGTGCTTCCTTAATATAGTTTGAAGCTAACCAAAAAAAAAAAAATGAATCAAAATACCCGCTTTGCTTGCTTGCTAGATCTAGCAATCATGAGCTTTAACGGCGGCTTCCACGGACGCCTGTTTGGCTCACTCTCGACAACGCACACAAAGCCCCTTCATAAACTGGATATCCCTGCCTTCGAGCACTGGGTCTCGAGCCCCTTTCCGAATCTGAAATACCCACTCGAAAAGCACCAGGCTGAGAACCAGGAAGAGGAAGCTCGCTGCCTTGCCGTGGCGGAGGCGAAGATGAAGAATGCGACGACGCCGATCGCAGCGTTGATCGTGGAACCAATCCAGAGTGAGGGCGGGGATAACCATGCATCCGCGAATTTCTTTCAGGAGTTGAGAAACTTGACGAAGAAGTATGGTATTCTGATGATTGTGGATGAAGTCCAGACGGGCGTTGGACCAACGGGACATTTTTGGGCGCATGAAGCGTGGAATCTGACTGTAAGTGCAACTCTTTTCCACGCTTTCTGCCCTCTTCAAAAAGGGACATACTAACCAGCATTTGTCGTCTGGTTTCATTTTGACAGACGCCGCCTGATATCGTCACCTTCTCTAAGAAGTTCCAAGCGGCTGGGTAATGCATGAGATCGCGATATGTTTATGAAAGGATCGCTTCTGAGGAAACGGGAGGCGTGAGGACTAATAGAATTAGCAATGCTTTAACATTATATAGATGGTTTCACGGGCCTGAACTTCGACCTGATGCCGCCTACCGCAACTTCAACACCTGGTACGGCATATCGTTCTCAATACTAATTTAGGACGCTTTGCAATGCTTTTATTGACACAGCAAATTTGCTCCTACGAATGGACAGGCTGGGCGATCCGGTTCGCGCGATTCAAGCAAAGACGATCCTCCAGGAGATCAAGGACAAGAACCTAATCAAGAATGCGCAGGAGACAGGTGCATATTTGAAGAAGGAACTCCATTTGATGGAGAGTCAGCATCCGGGGACGATCTCGAATGTCCGTGGTCAGGGTACATTCCTGGCATTCGATCTGCCTTCGCAACAGGAGCGGGATGCGTTTGTTGTGAGGCTGAGGCAACTTGGAGTGAGTGCTGGTGGATGTGGACCACAGAGCATTCGGCTGAGACCGATGTTGGTGTTCCAGAAACGGCATGCGGATGTCTTTTTGGATGCGGTCGAAAGAGCGGCGAGTGATCACCGACCATTGAAGTAGGGGTCGGAGAGCCAGGACACGACTGACGGGATGCTGGAGGATATTCAATAAGATAGTCGATGGGACCGATTGTGAAATAAAAGGGGTCCTGTTTCGAAAGTATCGGCAATGACCATGAACTTGTGTAACCTGTGTAACTTGTGTGTTTCCAGGAAGGAATGCAGTGGAGTGTGCGATGTACGGATTTTGCACGTGGCGGATCTACTTCCTTTGTTGCAGGCAAACAAAGAGCCAAATCGAGCCAAATCTGATCCTGGCACGCTTGCACGCCTACACGCCTGGGAGGATCTGGCGTCAATAAAAAATAAAATAAAAAAAAAAAAAGAAAGAGCCAAATCTGATCCTCCTTTCTTTCTTTTCATTCCATTACGTTCCATTACGTTCCATTTCATTTCATTTCATTTCATTTCATTTCATTTCATTTCATTTCATTTCATTTCATTTCATTTCATTTCATTTCATTTCATTTCATTTCATTTCATTTCATTTCATTTCATTCCATTCCATTCCATTAACACACACGCACACATATTCTCTTTTTCGATACTTCCTTCATTGTTTGTATTCATCCTTCCTCGCTTCCCTTGATCGAGATCCACCGTCTGATCTCTTTGTCCGGCACCCAGAAAAACTTATCCGCTATCGCGAATAAACTCAATTTTCAGCCTGGTGTGACAAACCCTACTCTCAGCCTGACTATATAGTAGCTTCGTCCATATCGGCCAGACTCATGAAGATCAACCGCCGTCATTTCGTCGGTATCCTCTACGACTGCATCCTCTTCGAATATGCCTCCCTCGTCAGCATCGATAGGACTTACACGCTCTCGCTCGATGATCTGGCCGACACCTTCGCCTTCGTCGCCGACTTTTACAAACACAACCGACCCCGAATGGATGTCCCCTGCGATCAATTCATCCTCCGGAACCAGCTCCACACCGTTGCAGGACTACTTGACTATATCGAGGAGATGGACCATGGTGCATTTGAAATATTTCCTGGAAATGTCGAACTCAGAGAAGAGACTCCCTCGTTCGCATCGACATCCTCAACAACCAAACGAGATCAACGGCGTCAAGAGCGATTTGGAGGCAGCAAGGGAAGGATTGAGCGGGATCCGTTCAGCCATGCTGCGCGTGGATGGACCACAGATCTGTACAGTCATCGTGGCCATGACCTTCTCCTACATGATACGGATACGGACCTGGATGATGAGTACTCAATCAGGATACCCGGGCTTTCTAAAACGGACATCCAGACGTTTTTATGGGAGTACGCCTATATGCCAGAGGACTATCAGGACGATATCGCGACCCTGATCCGGTATCTAAGACGGGACGAGTGGGTGATGAATGGATCGAAGGGCTCGATTGTCACGTTCGACTGGGATATGGAGGGAGTCCAGAAATATTCAAAGGAATACAACCAGAACAAGATCCGAAAAGTCGAATTGAGGGGACAGGAGGAGGCCAAGAGGAAGCAGGAAGCAGCACTGAAGCAGCAAGAGGAATGGAATCGACAGCAGGAACTTATACGAGAAAAGGAGGCTGCGCAGAGGATGAAGATCTTGGATCACTTTATCTGGAGAATGCATGAGGTATGGTATGCGTTGTTTTCAGTTTTTGATTATTTTTTTTTTTTTTTCGACGAACGATGGTATTTCAACGTTGCTTATATGTGCATGTCCTGTGTTTGTCGATAGTCGATGACCATCCCGACGATAACAGCGACCGAGATCGACAACATGGTACGGAACCTCGAGATGGAAATTAGCGAGTATTTTGGATATTGCTTCGTAACCCTCACGCCCGTTGGGTATGTTTCCCGCTATAAATTTGATCCTACCTACCGACAGTTGAAATTAGATGCCCGGGATAGTTATATAACAGCAACTTTGTTCTTTGCACTTTAGTTCTTTTGCATCTGGATCATATACCCACCTCAGCGATCTGGACCTCACATTGACAGGGAATATCAAAACCATCACCATCCTAACGCTCGCTGATGCTCTACAGCATTTCAACTATGAAGGCGTCACTCTTGCGGCCAACAACACCCATTCGATAATTTTATCTTTAGCACCTTCAGTTATTACATTTTCGGATCCCAAAACTGGGACGACATGCCACCTCACGTTGAATGAGCCCCTGATGATCTATCGATCGAAACTGATCTGGACCTACGGCGCAATCGAGCCCCGGTTTGGTCCTATGATCGTCGCACTCAAGCGCTTGACAGTACAGCGACGCCTCCTCAGTGGCTCCATATACCAGGACCAACGAGCCTCGATGCCCCTGGGCAGTTATGCGTTGGCATTGATGCTGATTACGTTTCTTCAGACAGAAAATCCCCCGATTCTACCAAAGTTGCAGCAGGCACCCTCACAAGACGATCACGACCGGCCGATGAAGGAGGTGATTGTGCAGGGAATCGATTGTTCGTTCGATCGGGATTGGAAGTTTTATCGCGAAACCGGATCAGGATCAGGGAATATCAAAAGCGCGGCGGAGCTGTTGGTGGACTTCTGTCGGTTCTTTGGATACGTGTTTGACTATGAGTCCAAGGAAGTGAATGCGAGGATTGGGGCGTTTCGATGGCGTCCAGATGTGTCGAACAAGAGCGAGAACACGGTCGATGACCTAGCATCGACAGGGTCAACAAATGTTGTCTCGATGACGGCGCCTGGTGCTATGACCGCGACGACGACGAAGGAGAAGGAGAGTAGCAGTGCAGTTTTGTTCCAGGTGATGGATCCGTTTGTGATAGGATTGAATGTCATGGCTGGATGTTCTGATGAGAAGGTGAGGATGGTGAAGGAGTGCTTCCAGGAGGCATATGAGGCGCTGATCGAAGGGGACATTAATCTCGCGTTTTCGGACTCATAGTCAGTGTGTCCAATAAAAATATTGAACCATGGACTCAAGGTCGCTTATCTTTACTCTTTGTTGTTTCTTTTTTTCAGCATTGGATCCCGCGTGCATTTTCTTTGTAGTATCTGGTTCGACGATGTTATGTCTATAGCATATTTTTTTTTACGAATAGTTAACGGCAAACACCTATGCTTATGTAGGTGTTAATCGTCTGTATATACATATTGAAAGATCAGTTTTATTTGTTTGAAAAGAACTATCGATTTCGGAAGTAGAGAAACCATGTAGAAAGTAAATAGGCGAGACGGATTAAGTTTCGCCAAGGCATTTGATTGTACTGACGAAAGAAGTTGCGATGTATTTAGCACATTGCGCAGAGCAATTCCGACTTAAACCAATGTATTTTGCTGAGGCTGTATTGCCATTGTGACGCGCCAAAAGCTCAAAGGCGCCACAAGTAAGGATGGCGAAGTGCCTGGCCCTGATATGCGGCGAGACCATGACGGTGTCGACTTAAGAGGAGATGGCGACCTGAGATAGCATGGTGTCTTTCTCCTGCACGATTCAATTTACCTAGGCAACCAAATGCATTGTGTGCAAAAGGTCGAGGTCGAGGAAATAAGGAAGAATACGACTTTATTCGGGATATTTAATCGTTTACTAGCTAAGATCTCGACTAAGGGTGTTGCTCAAGTCCAGACTGGATTAGTCAGCGGCGCTTTAGAAAAGTCATAGAACTTGGGCGAAGTATTGCGTGAGAGGAGCAAATGCAAACGCTATCACGTTTTTGCCTTTCTGGCTATAAGCTCAACTACCTGTGCTGCAACTTGAGCACCCTTGACGCAGTTTGGCATGGTTCATGGCAGGCGCTCAGAAACTGGGGCCGGACACCTTCGGCCTTAATATGGTCGACGATATTCATGGCTATCAAAGCGAAGGCGAGTCGGCTGGTAGCCTCCGCTCGGCAGTTGCTAGGCGCTTCCTAAAGTTATGCTGTGGCGACCCGGGATATCATTCCTTACTCGGAGTGATGCTAATACAATGGTTTTAGAAAATATGCGTCCAGTAAAGTACACCCAGTTTTCGGCTCTCAATTTTCAGTTTTTAAAGAGGATTTTTCAGGAAGGTTTATATGTATAAAAGTACACCATAGTGCATGTACAGCACAGCACAGCTCAGTACAGCACATCGGTAGCGCCTTTAATTTCGTATTCATCGACACGTGGTGGCCCTTGCAGCTTACTTGTACCTTACCTTGCTCTTGAGCCCTTTTACCTTTCCTTCATCCCTCGAGGAGCATAGTAACTTCGACGAACAATAAATACACATACATACACACCCACACCCCCTACACCCCCTTCGTTCTCGTTGTTAACCAATGGTTGCACAAACCCGCCAGCAGGCAGTCAAGGTTGCTCGCACGGCGGAACAGGCAAAGGTGACAGCAGCAGCAGGCCTTTCGTTTGACGGTTCCGGTCCGAAAGGCAAGAGCAAGATGAAGCAGATCAACAGAAATGCAGATGAGGGAAATGCAGAGATCTCATTGGCACGTCGGACCATCGCTCGAGATGAGCATGGACTTTTGGTAAGCACTCCACCCCCACCCCCAGTTGTTTCCTCCTCGGACAGGGCTGTTAACGACGGGGCTGAGGACATGGAAGTAACCATGGACGAAGCTGAGCACACTCAGAGCGTTGAGACGACTGAGAACAAGGGTCCAGGAGAGGATGCTGCCAATGGCGAAGGCTCTACTGAAGCCATTGCAGGGGATCATCCAGAGGAGAGTGTGCGTTTCGATGACATCGTCGAGGATATCGACGAAGACGACCCAGGTAGTTTCCAAGTGATTCGACGCACCCGCGAGAAGTTCAACAGGGTTCTGGTCCCTCTATCTTCTCTGCGTGGCGAAACAACTGAAGAAAAGCGGGAGGACCTGATGGGGATGCTGAAGGCGGCCGAGGTCAGTGTTTTGGCAAGGATCAAGACAAAGAAATTCGATGGCGAACATCTTTATTCGGTGTCAGTGGAGACAGAGGCTCAAGTTCAGGAGCTGCTAAAAATGAGGACTGAGAATGCGGACGGAGCCCGCGCTTTCATCTTCCGCCGCGCGAATGACGACTGGAGTCAGGACCGCCGTCGACGAACAGTGGAGGTGTGCGGACTTCCCCCACGCATAACGGACACACTGGTCCGCTTGTCATTGCAGAAATATGGAGAGATCGAGGACATTTCGCGTCACATTTGCAGCCGCGGTATCAAGGTAACCCTTGCAGTGCGTTTCACGTCCCAAGCGGGCATTGAGAAATTGGTAGAAGAGGGCACTACCTCTCTCTTTGTGGGCAATGAACACGCTCGTTTGGGTCGCCTTGGTGCCGTGTCATTGCAATGGAACACGAGGCATGTATGCAAACTGGCGGGCTTGCCTTCTCAGACGAGCCCCCTCGATCTCTCGGATTTGTTGGAACTGAAGGCTATTTACATTGATATACCCAAAGTATTTGTGGATAATCAAATAAAATACCGACGAGAGGCGTATGTTTACTTCAATTCTGAAGAAGACATGAGAACTGCAACAGCCAATCCTATCAAGCTAGGAGACAGGATTTTGGAGTGGTGCAAGACTGGCCACAAAGTTTGTTACTCATGTGGTTCGAGTAGGCATCTCAGAGCCGATTGTACGACGCGTACCGAGAACAAGGAACGATATCTTCATGTGGAGGCGGTGAGGAAATACAGTCAAGGACAGCCGCTGCGAGTGAGTTCTTCGCGGTCGTACGCCAAAGTCGCCAGCACCAACGCTCAGAAGCAACCCGCACAGGCTGCATCAACCAACGCAGGCACCAGTGGCGCCATTGTGGAGGAGACGACGCTCAACACAAACACAGATGTTATTGCCGCGATCCTGGAGCAAATGCGTCAGGACCGAGAGAGAGCTGAGGCCCAGTTCAAGACCATGATGCACTGTATGCAGGAGATGATGAAGATTGTTTGTAGCACCCTCGCACAGACGTTTCAAGCACCGCAAGCAAAGGAAACCCGGCCTGCTCAGGCAGCTACAGCAACGACAACAGGACGATCGCCTAAGGAACGAACAACCGCTCCCGCTATGACATCAAAGACAACGGCACTAACTCAAAAGATAAATGACCAGGACCCGACACAGATGACTCTCCAGCAGCTTTTGGACAAGGCCAAACAACCTGGAGCCTTTCCAACACCACAGAGCAACATGAGCTCACTTCTTGCTGCGTGGCAACTTGTAGCGTCGAACTCCGGACCGCCCCACCATCCGCTACCACCTACACCCGCTAAGAAAATGCAACCGGCCGACTACTCAGGAATTAATAATGAATAATACGCCCAATATGCACTCTCTTCAGAATCAATATGGTACATCGGAAAACACTGCAACGGACATCGGACTTAATGACTACAACGAACACAACATCAACAATAACGTAACAATGGAGCGCACACTTCGAGTTGCGACATACAACATTCGAGGAGCAAATGCTCCAGGAAAACTAGACGCCCTCTGCTTTTGGGCAGAGCACGCGGATATATCCATTCTTGGTTTACAGGAAACAAAATTCGCAACACACAAGGAACGATTTACACTCTCTCGGGAGTATTCACACATATACGACACGCATTGGGGAAGCGCCCCACAAAATCCCGCGGCTTCAGGCGTTGGACTCCTGGTGCGCAAGGACTGGAGCAAATATATCATTCGCAAGACACGACACCGTGGACGCGGTATTGCCATTGATTTTGCATTCAGGAACCGCTGTACACTTCGTGTGATTAATTGCTATATTCCTAGCGACGCACAGCACCACCCGGAAGGTCAGGCCCTGCAACAATGGCTAAAGCAACAGATCAACGAGGCCGTTTTGGGTCACTACAAATATATTTTGTTAGGGGATTTCAATGGCACCATGTCACCTAGCATCGACAGAAATAACAACAATGGGAGTCACCGACCGGACACGCCCCTTTTACAGTGGGTTTCGGAGCAACCATTGACGGATGCGTACAGATCGCTATTCCCGCTCGAGGCCGGCTTCACCTTCGAGGATGTCAGTCGCATAGACATGGTTTTCCTATGTCCAGGGATCTTACCCCGTCTTTTCAACGCGGAGGTGATCGATTTACAGGACCATGTTAAATCGGACCACCAAGCACTGGTAGTGTCCTTAAATCTGTACGCGATATCGCTCCTTGGAGACACATCGGCCAGCAAATACAGGAAACCTCAAGGCTTTCGGTTTTGTTTCCGTGAGACATCGAAGGAGGAGTGGACGAACTATGCAGAAGAAACCACGAAAATATTTTCCAGCAGCTCAAGCTTGACCAGGTTGGGTATTAGGGACTTGGACGACAATGGCACGGTTCCCAAGGAGGCCCTAGTTCGGATCAACCTGGAACGCACATGGCAATTTTATTCGGCCTCTTTGATGAAAGCAGCAAAGGCGACACTCCCAGGCAGAGTGGTAGGTCGCACCGGTTGTCGCCCAGAGAGAGAAGTCAACATGAGCCACATCATCCGTTCCTTATCCAGCCTCCAACAAGCAGCCAAGAGAATGAGGCAAGGACTTTTTGCTGCTCCAGATGTGCAACAAACTCTTTCGCAGGAGGTTAACAGTGCGTTGAATCGGATCGACAAGTATTTTCATCGCATGGAGGAAGCGGAAGAAGCCCCACCAATCGACCGACTAGGAAGACCCCCA